GACCCCTGTGGAACACCGCTTGTGACATGCACCCATTCTGATTTCTCCACATTTATGCAAACTCTTTGCTGCCTATTTGTCAACTGCACCTCTACCCAGGAAAAAATTTCTCCTCCTATTCCGTGTGCCTTAAGTTTCCTGAAAAGTCTCTGATGTGGAACTCTATCGAAAGCCTTACTCAAGTCCATATACACAGTATCATATTCATTACCATGATCTACCTCCTCAAACACCTTAGTGAAAAAAGTAAGTAAATTCCTAAGACAGGAACGCCCCTCAGTAAAACCGTGTTGAGATTCATTTATGAATTTATGCCTATCAAGATGGCTATGAATTGCCTCGGCAATTATTGATTCCATAAATTTTCCCACTATGGAGGTAAGGCTTATTTGTCTATAGTTCGAAGCTAAGGACCTGTCACCTGCCTTGTAAATAGGTATTACATTTGCCATTTTCCACTTATTTATGCCAGTTTGTAGTGATATGTTGAAAAGATTAGCCAAAGGTTTGCAAAGTTCCTCTTTACATTCCTTTCAAACTCTTGCAAACAATTCATCAGGGCCTGGGGATTTGTTAGGTTTTAATTTCTCTATTTGTCTGAGGACCATGTCACTAGTTACTGCAATTGTGCATAGTTTATTATCGTCCTGTTCTACATAATTTATTTCTGGAACTTTGCTAGTATCTTCCTGAGTAAAGACTGAGAGGAAGTAAGAATTGAAAATTTCACAAATATCCCTATCACTGTCAGTGATCTGACCTGAGCTACTCTTAAGTGGGCCTGTCTTGTCTCTGATTTTACTTCTGTATACCTGAAAGAACCATTTTGGGTTAGTCTTCGAATCCCTTGTGACCTTAGCCTCATAATCCCTTTTTGCTTTTCTTATTCCTTTTTTTATTTCTCTCTTTAATGGAATATATTGATTTCTTAACTGCTCTTCCCCTCTTTTGATATGCCTATATATGCCTCTCTTTTGACCTGTGAGATGTTTTAATCTATTGTTCATCCATTTGGGATCATTTTTGTTAGAACTAATTTCCCTACTCAGAACAAAAGTTGACTGAGCAACTAAAACAATGCTCTGAAAGACGTCATATTGGCAACCAACACCTGCTACCTGACCCATAGTCAGATCATCCCAACTTAGCCCACCCAGGTAATTTTTCAGTCCCAGGAAATCAGCCAATCGAAAGTCTGGGACAGAGACTTGATTGCAGTGTACTGGGTAATTCCATGATATATTGAAACTAAGTGATTTGTGATAACTTTCCCCAAGCTCATCATTAACCTGATGATTACTAATTAGCAAATCTTTGTTGGCAAGAACCAAGTCAAGCAGATTGTTTCCTCTAGTTGGTTCTGTCACAACCTGTTCTAAAAAGCAATCCTGAACTGTATCAAAAAAGTCACTAGACTCAAGATTTCCTGTCAAATTGTTCCAATCAATTTGTCTAAAGTTAAAATCCCCCATTAACACAACATTTTCATATCTAGATGCCTTATGAATTTCGTCCCATAGCAGCTTACTGCACTCCCTATCAAGGTTTGGGGGCCTATATATCACACCCAAAATTAATTTTTCATACCCCTCGAGAAACTGTAGCCAAACAGATTCTGTGTCCGATGTTTCTATTCTTATATCATGTCTAACACAACAAGTTAAATTATCTCTGACATATATCGCCACTCCACCACCCTTCCTGTTGACCCTATCAGTGTGGAATAGTTTATAACCCTTTATGCTGCATTCAGAAGGCATTTCTCTATCCTTCAAGTTGAACCAGGTCTCAGTTATAGCATTAATATCTATATTACCTGCACTTGCGAGTAATCTTAGCTCACCTATCTTATTTCTTAGATTTTTACTATTTGTATAGTAAACGTTAACCCTTTGACTGTCGCAGGCCCCTTTCTGAAACTGTCATTCTATGTCGCAAAATATTTAAAAAAAAAAATTATGTTTTCTTATGAAAATGTTAGGATTATTTTACCGAGTGTTTTAAGCCTAAAAAAAATTTTTTTGCCATCAGTACTTACAGAGATATAGAGCTGCAAAGTTCGCAGAAAGTGAGGTGCACACGGCAACAGCGGCGACTGCTGCCCACCTGGTATTCTTTTATTTACTCTAATTCAAAAGTTTCTTGCATTTTCCAATATTTTTCTTTTCTAAGTAACACAAACAAACAATACAAAGCAATGTTTATTACTATTGTTCCATAATATATATACATATGTTCAGTCACTGAACACGTTCCTAGAACTGCTGCAGCTTGTGGAACTCTTTGAAACATGGGTATATGCAGAGTGGCACTTGACACTCCTCACACATACAACGAGTGTCTCTGCGTGTTTGTGGGCGTTTTGTGGTATGTGTACATACATAACACCTCTTCTGAGCATTTTTCGTGGAAGCAGTAGGAGGCAGCTGTATGGGGTAGTGATCACCAGGCCTCAAACGAGATGGCGTGTGTTGGTAATTTCGTGGCCGCTGGTCTATTGCAGGTGTTGCTCCTTAGCACTTCACGATTATTTGTCTGATTACTGACAAACAAAATTCACCATATTTTGGTGTTTTGTTGGTCTTCAACTTGTATATGTTATAAGCATTTAGCATGGAGATATCAACAAGATGGAAAAAAAGTTTTATATACCACTTACAACTCTTGCATACACAATCAGCAAACCCAATCTGCATGTCACATTTGTCCACTAAGCGCATATTGAGGTTGTAGTCCATGACAGCTGCAGGCTTTAGAATAGGTTCATTGGTCTCTCTGTTGTGTCTGCCACTGTGTGCCATTTCGTTTTGGTGAACTGATGTCAACAATGTGACATCACGTTTGTCATGCCACCGAAATGCCATGATGTCATTGGTAGCAAAGGCTTGCACTTCACCTCTGCGAGTGCATCGTTGAACCTTGGCTTATGTTTACGATTACCACGCACTGTGCCACACACGTCTGTCAAGTTCACTCGCAAGAAATCACTGAATAAGGGGCTTGTGTACCAGTTATCAGTAAATAACATATGCCCCTTACCAAGATATGGTTCCATCATTGTTCTAACCACATCACCAGAGATACCCAATAACGTCATGGTATCTCGCAAAGTATTACTGCCAGTGTACACAATGATATCCAAAACTAGACCACTTCTGCAATCACACAGTACAAATTACTTTATGCCAAAGCGTTTCCTCTTGCTTGGTATATATTGCTTGAATGAGAGTCTTCCTTTGAACAAAATCGAAGACTCATCAATAACAAGCTTCCCGAAGGGATAAAAATACATGCAGCACTTTTGTTTCAGGTACATAAACACATTTCTGATCTTATATAACCTGTCACTTCTGTCAGGCCTGGTTTTGTCTGAAAAGTGTAACATACGTAACAGTATCAAGAAACGATTGACACCTATAATGTCACTAAAACCTGGAGTTGAAATCAGGCGTTCTGTTGCCCAGTATGTGGTGACAGTGTGCTTATACACATGTGGCATAAGCATTATTGTGGCAAAAAACAGGCACATCTCTGCCACAGTTGTCTCCTTCCACTGGTGTAGCCGTGATCTTGGTGAGAGAATTTTATTTGCCATGGTGTATCCATAGTATGTGTTGGTTTCCCTGACAATGATGTCCATCAGGGGTTCATCAAAGAATAACTCAAAGCATTCCAGTTCACTAGCATTGTTCCCAAGTGGACATGATGGCTTTATTCCACTATCGCTATCACATTCACTGCTAACATCTGGGTCTTGTACGCGACCAAATAGTTTCCTCTTTCGTCCTGGTACAGGTGAACGTGAACGTGAACAAGCCGGCCCAGCACCAGAGGTGGATGGTTGTGGGTCATCTGGGTTTTCATCACTAATTACATCACCCTGGGCACTTTTTTCGGTCACACTCACTTGAAAACCCGGAATTCACTGTCACTGACACTTTCATCGCTATTAGAGCTATCACTTGGGAACAAAAGACCTCCAATCCGCCAAGGAGTGAGGTACTTCTTACCGCGAGGCATGGTGAAAATGGACTACCAAGATGGCGTTCCCACAATGCACTGCCGAGTCCCAGATTTTTTTCACAGGGTGCACACCCACCACTGAGACCCATTCTCTCTCATGTAGGCCTACCAGGCCTTTCCCGCTTGATTTGAAGCCGCTAGAATTTATGCATATAAATACGTCAGAAACAGTGGCGCGTAAGACATATTTATACGGTGTAAACAGTCAAAGGGTTAAGGGAGCTAGTCACTCGTTGCCCTCTACTATCTCTCTTTGTTGATCAGTTGCTTTGTCTTTATTAGGAACCTTATTTTGAATATTGTCTTTTAAACATATCCCTGAGGTATCCTGGTAATATCTGCTGTTTCCAACAATAATACTGCAGCCTGATTGTTTCCCACAAACACCCATACCTCTATAATCTATCAGTTTGAAGTCCTAGACAAGTCATCAATATCCCCCTCAATCGAATTGGCTAATGCAACCACTCCAACCCCAGAGAGATGAACCCCATCCCTTGCAAACGTATCATGTTTGCCATAGAATTTGTCCCAGTTATCATTGAATGCGATTGCAAGTTCCTTGCAGTACCTGTCTAGCCAGCAATTTATACCAGTTGACCTAGACATCCATTCATTGCCCACTCCCTTTCTAGGCAAGATGCTACATATGATAGGGATCCCTCCTTTAGACCTGACTACTACTATGGCTGACCTGTACTTATCCAGTAGCTCCTGTCTCTTGCCCTTCCCAATGTCAGTTCCACCAGCACTAAGACAGATAATAGGCTTGTTCCCATTACCTGACATAATATTATCCAATCTGCTATGTCACCAACACCAGCTCCTGGGAGGCACACACACTGTCTGACTTTTCTATCTCTGTTACAAAAAGCACGGTCCATGTATCTTACCTGAGAGTCTCCCGCAATCAGAATATTCTTCCAGTAATTATACACTGTTAATGTTTGTGTTTATTTTGCTCAACCTTGATACAGGATGTGTGTCTGGCTGATCATGCCATGGATTTGAGGCCTATAAATGATAAAATTAATCCTGTTGAAGATCTCATAGAGAGTCATATCCACAAGATGATAATTAAAGCCAAGCAACTTTGTACAGGTAAGAATTTGCCTTTATGCCTTTTGCATATTAAACTGCTTTTCCTTGGATGCGCTCTCAATAATTTTCGTATGGAAGTAAAGTGACATAATTGAGAGTACTTTTTTTATTTTTTGAAGTTGACTGCATCTTTTGTGCTTTAGACTCATTTGCACATATACCAAATGGGTCTCAAGGAACCCATTTGATATATGTCCTACTTTCTTTCACAGCAAATACTCACATTTCTTTGTGGTAGTAGAATCTGTTTAACACTTTTCATCTCACTGAAGACTTTCTTTGCCTCTGTATGTTTAGATATTCCTATGCCTCAGTGTTGTTTATATATTATTGCTTCACTTCAACTTCCATTTATACATTTACACTGTTGTATCAGTGCAAATTCTTCTTCAGTTAGCATTTAGCTTTCTTGATCCCCTGGGAACCCTGCACCTATCTAAACTACCAGTGGGATTCTTGGTAGGAAATTATATTGAAGTATTTCTTAACACTGCTTACAAGTAAAACAGCAAATTACAGTGATAATAGTGTACAGTACATATATCGTGTTAGAAATTAAGTGTAATTTCAGAAGTTATTGGATCCAATGCAGTACAAAAAAAATGTCCTTTGTTCAATATAAATAATATGTATGTATTACAAGTTTTGTATTTATTTTGTAGAAATTACTTTCTCAAAGGATATGAAATTTTTAACAATTTGATGAATAAAATTATAATTTTGAAAGTACTTCCAGTTAAGGCATGTATTTTGGGAAGTGGTAGTAGTACCTCTAAGTTGATACAATTTAGACATGTACCCTTTGGTCAATGTTATACAGTGGTACCATGAGTTTCGGCCATAATTCGTTCCAGAATGCTGTTCGAGTGCCGGTACTGAACAAATTTGTTCCTATAAGGAATAATGTAAATTAGATTAGTCCATTTCAGACCCCCCAAAAATACATTTACAAAAACACTTACAATAATACACTTACATAATTGTTCATGTTGGGAGCTGTACGAAACTTGGGGTACCACTGTATATACATGTACATGTAATATATATATATGTATGCAAAACAACCACTCTGAAAGAATAGAGAAATTCCAAGCGCTTTCGTGACTACTCACATTGTCAAGGAACTATGAAAGTAAAGCATCCAAGGAAGGTATATAAGGGGTCTGGCCAACACCTCACTATCAGATCCCACAACGGTTAAACACCTGACGCTCGCCGGCCCAACTGGACAGGTCCTTTGCACAACCCACCAACAAACTATTCTACCCAAGAAAATTTTTAAAATTATTATTTGTCCAGTGTATTATTAAATTCTTCCCAAATTCTATTAATTGTAAATGGATCTAATTTATATAAACCAAAGGAAATATTCATATTATTGTCAAAACTGCTTTTTATGAAACAAGATTCAATTATATTCCTGTCGACCATGGACTTGCTTGTTACTACTTTCTCAACTTTTTGAAAATCAATTGGATGGTTAAAATCTCTTACATGAATAAATAGAGCATTGGAATCTTGTCCAGTTCTAATGCTATATTTATGTTGTTTTAATCTTAGTTCGAGATTTTTACCAGTTTGACCGTAATAATATGCCTTCTCTTCTTAAGACTTTTAATATTAAAGTTGTATTCAAAAATCTTGATACAGTAAAAAAACTTTTGATAAAGAATTCCCCCCAAAATGCTGATGGATGTGTCTATAAGATTCCTTGTAAAATTTGCGATAAAGTTTATTACGGTCAAACTGGTAAAAATCTCGAACTAAGATTAAAACAACATAAATATAGCATTAGAACTGGACAAGATTCCAATGCTCTATTTATTCATGTAAGAGATTTTAACCATCCAATTGATTTTCAAAAAGTTGAGAAAGTAGTAACAAGCAAGTCCATGGTCGACAGGAATATAATTGAATCTTGTTTCATAAAAAGCAGTTTTGACAATAATATGAATATTTCCTTTGGTTTAAATAAATTAGATCCATTTATAATTAATAGAATTTGGGAAGGATTTAATAATACACTGGACAAATAATAATTTTAAAAATTTTCTTGGGTAGAATAGTTTGTTGGTGGTTGCGCAAAGGACCTGTCCAGTTGGGCCGACGCGCATCAGGTGTTTAACCGTTGTGGGATCTGATAGTGAGGTGTTGGCCAGACCCCTTATATACCTTCCTTGGATGCTTTACTTTCATAGTTCCTTGACAATGTGAGTAGTCACGAAAGCGCTTGGAATTTCTCTATTCTTTCAGAGTGGTTGTTTTGCATATTCTGAAATCACCTGTTTACCATGATCTTATTGCATATATATGTATGTCTATTATACTAATATAATAGGAGTACCCAGTGGCTATTGCTTTATTTATTCACTATACAAGTACAATGTAGAGAAGAAAACCCTTTTCCCTATGAGCATGTGTAGAAAGTACAATACGTATAACAAATTCTTTACAGTGCAAGTCTTGTCTTAACAATTATCAGTGATAGAAAATGTATTCTTGGGCTATTAGTAAAGACTAAATTGTTCTTTTCTATTGGCTCTTGAGCTGCAGTATATGAATTATTTTGCTAAAATTAAACCAAATGCTATTGCCTTTACAGGTCATCCAAAACAACCCACAAAACCTCTTATTCGGCTGAGGGTTGAATATACGGACGAATCGCAGATGTTCAACGCATGTCGATTTGGCCACAGATTTGAGAATGAAGTTGCTAATCCCAGCGAGATGATATTGTTTAGAAAATTTAAGCAAGAAAAGAAGCCAGCAGACATTGGTATTGATGGTGATGCTATGGATGCTGTGTTTGCTGAAGATGTACGTCATACTTGTAACACTTAAATATCTATGTTAATCAATGAAATGAGAAAGTCTGGAGAGCAAATAGATTTTGCACTCTAAAACGTAAGAGAAGAGATGTTAGGTGAGGAGGTGGAGGTACTGGAAAGATGGAAATGATGTTATGATGCGTTGAATATTAACCCTTTCGGTGTCGATTCCATAGTACTATGGCTTGAGAGCCAGTGTCGGTCCCGTAGTACTATGCCAAAATTCTAGCACCTTCAAATCTGGTGGAAGAAAGCTGGTAGGCCTACGTATGAAAGAATGGGTCTGCATGGTCAGTGTGCGCAATATAAAAAAAATCCTGCCGCATGCAGTACATAATGAGAAAAAAAACTTCGACCGTGTTTTTGGTTTAAAACACCGACTTTGCAGTGTATTTTTGCATGGTATTTATGGTTGTATTCTCATTTTCTTGGTCTCATTTGATAAAATGGAGATAATTTTGGTTGGTTTCAAGATGAAAAATACCTTGAAATTGAGCTCAAAGTAGCAGAAATGTTTGATTTTTGCCAATGTTCAAGAGTAAACAAAAGTAAACACTGTCCAGTACATGTACACCTGGCAAGTCTGATATGCAGTCTTGAATGGGTTGACATTATTTATACAATTATAATAATGCAGTAGTCTGCATAAGAGTAAATCTTCTATTTTTTGTGAGAATAAAAATTCAAAATGGAAAGCAAGAGTAATATAAGAGGGACCTGGAGATGTGACTAATAAACAGAGAAAATGTTATTTTAGTGACAGGAATGTTTGCCTTGTTTATTTTGGACCCTATTTTGGCATCTTTTGAAATTTGTGTGAAATTGGCCAAATTGCCAATTTCTGGCCACTTTATTGGGTAATTGAAATTGGTAAATGGGCAGTTTCTTGTACTCAGTCAATAGAACAAATAGAGTTCTAGTGAAATAGCTATGATTTTAGATGACTGGAATAATGGAATTGGCTGAAAATAGGGCTCAAAGTTGGCAAAATTGCCAATGTGTAAATTCGCCGAGGGTGCTAACTTCGCAAGAGTGTAATTTCTTAAGTTTTCCACCAAATTTTGTACTTTTGGTGTTATTACCCTCGGAAAAAGATTCTCTATCATTTCATAAAAAATAAAGTTTTTTTTTTTTATAAATTTTTCAGCACAGAGAACGAGTTAAGGATCAAAGATCTCGACACCGAAAGGGTTAATGAGGAAGGATACAACAGTGATTGGGCACTGACATGTAACATAGTATAGCAGAGAGGCAGAGCCCGAGGTGGATGTGGGTATAACGAGAGAGGGTAAAGCAGCTTCGGCAGATGGAATTAAGGCAGATGTTAAAAGCAACTGAGAGTATAGTGCTGGAGTGGTTGGTGTATTTGTTCACTATGTGCATGAAAGGATGGAAGGTGCATAAGGATTGGCACCCTGTATAAGGAAAAAGGAGACGAGAGAGAATGTAAGGGAATGTAGGGATGAGAAAGAAAATAGGATTGTAGTGGAGCAGTAAGGGTTTAGGAAGGGTAGATGTGTAGACCATGTTTTTACATCAAAGCATGTGAGAAAGTTTGCAGAGGCGCTCAGATACGACACTTTAGATGTCCCTCCAAACAGCCAATATCCCAAACCCCTTCTTTAACCCTTTGAGGGTCGACAGGCCCTCTCCGAAACTCGTTCTCAGGGTCGGCCAAATTTAAAAAAAAAAAAAATTATTTTTTTCTTATGAAAAGATAGAGAATCTTTTCCCGATCATAAGGACACCAAAAGTTTGAAATTTGATGGAAAACTTACGGAATTATGCTCTCACAAAGTTAGTGGTCTCGGCGATGTTTACGCATCGGCGATTTTGCCCACTTTGAGCCCCATTTTCGGCCAATTTCACTATACTAGTCGACAAAAAACATGAATATTTCGCTAGAACTCCATTTTTTCTATCGAATGAGTGAAAAGAAACCACCCATTTATGAAATTCAACTATCCAGTACAGTGGTCAGAATTTAGCAATTTTGCCAATTTCACACAAATTTCAAAAGATGCCAATTTCCGAATAGGGTCCAGAATAAACAAGAAAGACATTCCTGGCACTAAAATGACATTTCCTCTGGTCATTAGTCACGTCTCAAAGCCCCTTTGAATTTTTATTCTCACAAAAAATATAATATTTACTGTTATGCAGACTACTGCATTAGTGTAAAAAAGGTATAAATATTATTGGCGCACTTGTGAAAAAATATTAGACTCACCAGTTGACGTGTATTGCACGCTTGGCACGATTTGTTTACTTTTAAAATTTTGGGGCAAAATCGAACATTTCTGCTACTTTGAGCTCAATTTCAAGGTATCTTTCATTATAAAACCAGTCAAAATCATCTCAATTTCTGTAATATGTCTTCCATTCTATAAAATGAGACCAAAGAAAACTAGATACAACAATAAATACCATACGAAAATCAGTGCAAAGTCGCTGTTTTATTCCAAAAAAATGGTCAAAGTTTTTTTTTTCTCATTATGCACTGTGTGCTGCAGGATTTTTTTTAGACTGTGCACACTGACCACATAGACCCATTCTTTCATATGAAGGCCTACCAGCTTTCTCCCACTAGATTTGAGGGCACTAGAATTTAGGCGTACTAGTACGTCAAAAACCCTGGGTCGTAAGCCGTACTAGTACGTCCGAAACCCTCAAAGGGTTAAAGTGCAGGCATTGTCTTCCCACTTCCAGGACTCAACTCCGGCTAACCGATTTCCTTGAATCCCTTCACAAAATATTACGGGCTGGAGTTTTGAGACTCTATGACCGCGGGTTCAGTCCCGGCCGGGGGTATGGTTTGTTTACCCTTCTCAAACTCCAACAGTTCATCAGGTCCCAAAAATCATTCATCTTTATTCACTCCTATCTGACACACTCGCACATGCTTCCTGGAAGTCCAAGCCCCTTGCCCACAAAACCTCATTTACCCCCTCCCTCCAACCTTTTCAAGGACAACCCCTACCCCACCTTCCTTCCCCTACAGATTTATATGCTCTCCAAGTCATTCTACTTTGTTTCATTCTCTCTAACTGATGAAACCACCTCAACAACCCCTCTTCAGCCCTCTGATTTATACTTTTATTAACTCCACACCTACTCCTAATTTCCACACTATGAATTCTCTGCATAATATTTACACCACACATTGCCCTTAGACACGACATCTCCACTGCCTCCAGCCTCCTCCTCGCTGCAGCATTTACAACCCATGCTTCACACCCTTATAAGAGTGTTGGTACAGGTCGGCCATCACTAATCCGGCATTCAGTTATCCGGTTCCATCAGTAATCCGGCACTAATTTTGGCTAGCATAGTTTCAAATTTCATCATTATACTGACTCAGAAATTGTGCAGATGGTAAATCCACAGCAGGAAGCCAGTGGAGGAGAAAGCAGTGACGAAAATGAGGACAATGTAGCAAAGTCTCCCTATTGATAGGTTAATTAAGTGTATTCTAACCTAACAACTCTAATCCAGCAAACTCTATAATCTGGCACACTACAGGTCCCAGTGATGCCGGATTAGGAATGGCCGACCTTTACCACTATACTCTCATATATTCCCTTCTTTGCCTCCATGGATAACGTTGCTTGTCTCAGATATCTCAACGCACCACTTGCCTTTTTTCCTTCATTAATTCTATGGTTAACCTCATCCTTCATAAACCTATCTGTTCACAAGTCAACTCTCAAATATCTGAACACATTCACTTCTTTCATACTCCCTCCCTCCAACGTGATATCCAGTTTTTCTTTATCTAAATTGTTTGATACCCTCATCACCTTACTCTTGTATGTGCTCACTTTCAACTTTCTACCTTTACACACCCTCTCAAATTCGTCCATTAAACCTTTGCAACTTCTCTTTAGAATCGTCCAAAAGCACAGTATCAACAAAAAGTAGCTGTGTTAACTCCCATTTTGTATTTGATTCCCCAAAATTTAATCCCACCCCTCTCCCCAACACCCTAGCATTTACTTCTTTTATAACCCCATCTATAAATATGTTAAACAACCATGGTGACATTACACATCCCTGTCCAAGACCTACTTTTACTGGGTAGTAATCCCTCTCTCTCCTACACACCCTAATCTGACTCACTATCTTCATAAAAACTCTTTACAGCATTTAGTAACTTACTACCTATCCCATATACTTGCAACATCTGCCACATTGCTCCCCTATCCACTATCATATGCCTTTTCTAAATCCATAAATGCAGTAAAAACTTCCCTAACTTTATCTAAATACTGTTCACATATATACTTCAATGTAAACACTTGATCTACACATCCCCTACCCACTCTAAACCCTCTTTGCTCATCTATAATCCTACTCTTTGTCTTACCTCTAATTCTTTCAATAATAACCTTACTGTATACTTTTCCTGGTATTCTCAGTAAACTTATTCCACTATAATTTTTACAGTCTCTATGGTCCCCCTTTCCTTTATACAGTGGACCCCCGGTTAACAATATTTTTTCATTCCAGAAGTATGTTCAGGTGCCAATACTGACCGAATTTGTTCCCATAAGGAATATTGTGAAGTAGATTAGTCCATTTCAGACCCCCAAACATACACGTACAAACGCACTTACATAAATACACTTACATAATTGGTCGCATTGGGAGGTGATCGTTAAGCGGGGGTCCACTGTATAAAGGAACTATACATGCTCTCTTGCCAGTCCCTAGGTACCTTCCCCTCTTCCATACATTTATTAAACAAAAATACCAACCACTCCAACACTATATCCCCCCCAGCCTTTAACATTTCTGTCATGATCCCGTCAGTTCCTGCTACTTTACCCCCTTTCATTTTACGTGATGCCTCACGCACCTCCCCCACACTCCCATCCTGCTCTTGTTCACTCTTAAAAGATGATATACCTCCCTGGCCAGTGCAGGAAATGACCGCCTCCCTTTCTTCGCTGATATTTAAAGTTCCTCAAAATATTCCCGCCATCTACCCAATGCCACCAGCTTCCCATCTACTAACTCCCCTACTCTGTTTTTGACTGACAAATCCATTCATTCCCTAGGCTTTCTTGTTTATCTCACTCCAAAAAATTTTTCTTTTCATTAAAATTTCTTGACAGTGCCTCTCCCACTATTATCTGCTCTCCTTTTGCACTCGCCACTCTCTTCACCTTTCTTTTACTCTCCATATACTCTACTCTTCTTATAATGCTTCTGCTTTGTAAAAACCTCTCATAAGCTACCTTTTTCTCTTTTATCACACCCTTTACTTCATCATTCCACCAATCACTCATCTTTCCTCCTGCACCCACCCTCCTATAGCCACAAACTTCTGCCCCACATTCTAATACTGCATTTTTAAAACTATTCCAACCCTTTTCAACACCCCCACCCTTGACTACTCATACTTGCACTAGCCCACCTTTCTGCCAATAGTTGCTTATATCTCACCCGATCTTGCTCCTCCCTTAGTTTATACACTTTCACCTCTCTCTCTTACTTCTTTTTTCAATTTTCCTTTCATCCCATCTACCTCTTACTCTAACTGTAGCTACAACTAAACAATAATTCAATATATCAGTTGCCCCTCTGTAAACCTGTACATCCTGAAGCCTACCCATCAACCTTTTATCCACCAATACATAATCTAACGAACTACTTTCATTACATGCTTCCTTTATCATACCTTGTATACTTATTTATCCTCTTTTTCATAAAATATGTATTATTACCAAACCTCTTTCTACACGTAGCTCAATTAAAGGCTCCCCATTTTCATTTACCCCTGGCACCCCAAATTTTCCTACTACTCCCTCCACAACATTTTTACCCACTTTTGCATTGAAATCCCCAACCACAAGTACTCTCACACAAAAAGCAATACATTAAATGATTATGTATTGAATCAGTTTTATATAGAATAATAAAAACCTGCAAGTGATATACATCTTTAATGAATGAATAATATTGTAGAGATTTTAATGAATGAGCTTGAACAATATTTAGAATGTTTGTGGTGTGTGTATTAGGTATCAGAGACACGTGTGGAGGACCTGGTGGAACAGTACTTTGCAGGACTTGAGGATCAAAACCAACAGCTGTTTTTGCTGACAGAGCGAGGTTTGGCAAGTGCTGTCCGATCTTTTGTGGAGAAAGATGACAAAGATGCCATCAGTGAAATTGTCAAGTAAGCTCTCCTCTCATTTACAATAAAAAAAACTTTTCCTATAATTGATGTCTTACAATTTTTACTGATATAGAAAAATTACTTTTTTCATGTTTTGACATGTGGGTGTCATATAACAGTCAAACAGTCATTGTACCAGTAGCCTTGCTGAACCATACATAAAAAAAAAAATTCCCAAAAGGAAAACAAAATAATAAAGTTTTTAAATCTTGACTTGCACACATTATGATTAAGTAAATGTATAGATGCTTGTGGTCTCCTTTCTCAAGTAGTTTTGATACTGTTGTTTGAGTAGATATTGCAGCCTCTTCTCACTTAGCGACCAGTATGCATACCTAATTAATGTATATTAGAGCTGATTTTCTCTATTCTGTTTATTACAGTACAGTGGACCCCCGCTTTACGATCACCTCCCAATGCGACCAATTATGTAAGTGCGTTTGTACGTGTATGTTTTGGGGCCTGAAATGGACTAATCTAATTCACAATATTCCTTATGGGAACAAATTCGTTCAGTACTGGCACTTGAACATACTTCTGGAATGAAATAATATCGTAAACCGGGGGTCAACTGTATATAGTACACTATTGTATAAACATTTAAAAATATACTAAAAATGTTATAAATTGTGCAAAGGTGACATTAAAACTATCAAAGATGGTTGACACAAACCCACTACCATTATAGTATGCTCCTTGCTTAGTGATGAATTCGTTGACCAACATGATCTTAGTAACGGAACTCAGTCGTTAAGTGAGAAGAGGCTGTACAGTGGACCCTTGCCTAACGAACGCATCGCATAACGTTAAATCCGCCTAGCGATACATTTTAACGCAAAAAAGGGGATTCCCCTTCTAAACATTAAGACTCTCTCCTCCTCCCATCCCATCAATCATCACCAGATCTTCAATAAAGGTAAGTGTCATGTAATTGTACATGTCTTCTTCAGTTTGTGTGTATTAAAATTAATATTTCATGTGGTAAAAATTTTTTTTTTTCATACTTTGGGGTGTCAGGAACGGATTAACTTGATTTCCATTATTTCTCATGGGGAAAATTAATTCGGCTAACGATAATTTCGCCTAACGTTGAGCTCTCAGGAACGGATTAATATCGTTAGGCGAGGGTCCACTGTACTTGGTAATGATTCACCCCTGTTTCATCAATACCTGTGTGTACTAGGTTATCATAACTCTTAAGAGAAATCAATTCATATTTATCTTTATGATCATTTTCTTCACAGGCATCAGTTGGAAAAAACAAAAAAGCATATATTATCTCTTGACAAAGAATTTGTAGAAGATGACGTTGAGGAGGATGTCATCATGTACCGACTGGAAAGAATGACTCGTGATCCTAAGAGAGAAGAGGAAGAGGTTTGTAATATACAATATTTACTGATATATTACTTTTTTAAATAACAAGAAGGCACAATACTGTGACAGGAACAATACACAAATATCGTGCACTTAGGAGGACCTCATGATGACATTTTGGTCTGACTTGGACCATTTACAAAGTCACAATGTGACTTTGTAAACAGTCCAAGTCGAACCAAAACGTCATGAGCTCCTCTCACCTATGTGCGGGTTATTTGATAACATTACTTTTTTAATGGTGCTGGGGATCACAGTCCTTGTGGCTTGCTCTCATATCAGTCTCATATATACAGCAAACCATTATATTACACAGTAGTTATGTTCCTGAAAACACCGTGTTAGGTAAATCTGTATTAGATAAACTGAAGAATATATGAGAAAAATAGGGTTACATTCCTGGGAGCCCCAAAAAAGCCAAACAACTTCGTTTTAGACCTCTAGATCTTACAAAAATAAAAGTGAATATGTAATTGTAGTTCATTTTTGTGATGTATTATGTTGTTTTTACTGCTTAAGATTAGTAAATGCAACAGAAATAATAGTACAGTGATACCTCGGGATACGAACAACTAAAAACTCGAACACTTACGTAAGTATATTTATGTAAGTGCTTTTGTAAGTGTATTTTTGGGGGGTCTGAAACAGATTAATCTAATTTACATTATTCCTTATGAGAATAAATTCATTCGGTATCGGCACTAGAACAGCCTTCTGGAACGAAATAAGTTTGTATCCCGAGGTACCACTGTGTTTCTTACCTTAAATTGTGGGCGCTGGTGTTTGTTGTTGATTGTGACGAGAATGCAGAGTTATGCTGTGGCCCTACTGGGCTGAGGTGGACGATAGAGGTTCTGGTATTGAAGTCGATGGTTATACTGGAGTGCGCATAAGTTCTGTAATTGATTTCTGAGCTATTTTACCCTGCAGTACATTATACAGCTGACTGTAAGGCATCATCTGCTCGAGACACCATTTCCAAGCACTTCTAGATTTATCAGGATCCTCTTCAGTTAAAAAAGTGTAACTAAGTCAGTTAGTCAGCCATGTCAGTCAGTCAGTCAGTCAGTCAAGTAAATCAGTCATTCAATTAAATCAGTTAAGTCAGTCAGTCAAGTAAGTCAGTCAGATAATTCAATCATTCAAGTCAGTTATTCATTACACAAACTCGTATATTTAACCTCATTCTTTTTAATTGTACAAACTGACGCTTCAGTAAGGTCAAAGGCTATCTCTTGTCAAATATCTCTATTTTCGTCATTAACTCTTGCCACTTTCAGCAGCACTCGTGTACCTCTTGGGTGCCATGATTGCTTGGCAAACCCGCAACAAAGCAGCAGCTTGAGCCATTGAAATTTTTTCCTTGCCTACAAATGGAACCTTGTTAAGTCAATTTTATGAAGTACTATTGTATAAAACTGTGCTGCAATTTTTCAACATTGCAATAACCAAAACATGGCAAATAAATCTGTGTAATATAATGGTTTACTGTATACAGTGGAACCTTGGTTGTCGAACTTAATTCATTCCAGGTGTTGGTTCAACAACCAAAATGGTTCACAACCAAACCAATTTTTCCCATAAAGAATAATGTAAATATAATTAATCCAGACCAAAAGTGACAAAATAATTTATTAATAATAATGTACTAACTACTACGTAAAACACTGTATAAAATTATAGAGCACAGGAAACTGTAAAAATTAATACTAAATGAAAATTTAACTGAAATACTGTACAGTTAATGAAAATTTAACTGCCTCTTACATGTCAGAGAAGAGCTAATGGCAAAATTCTAGTGGCTTTAAATCTTGTGGGAGAAAGCTGGTAGGCCTACATGTGAGAGAATGGGTTTGCATGGTCATTCTGCATGTGCAGAATAAAAAAAATTCCTACAGCATGCAATGCATGTGTTTTTGGTTTAAAATAGCAACTTTGTAGTGTATTTTCACATGGCATTTATGGTTGTATTCTCGTTTCCTTGATCTCATTTGATAGAATGATAGATATATTACAGAAACGGAGATAATTTTCAGAGGTTTAACCCTTTGACTGTTTTGGTCGTATATATACGCCTAACGAGCCAGTGTTTCAGACGTATATATACTCAATAATTCTAGCTGCTTCAAATCAAGCGGAAGAAAGCTGGTAGGCCACATGTGAGAGAATGGGTCTGTGTGGTTAGTGTGCACCACATAAAAAAATCCTGCAGCACACAGTGCGTAATGAGAAAAAAAAAAACTGATCGTTTTTTTGGATTAAAACGCCGACTTTGAGGTGTATTTTCGTATAGTATTTATCGATGTATTTGCGTTTTCATGGTCTTAGGTGATAAAATGGAAAACATATTACAGAAATAGAGATGATTTTCATTACTTTGACGATGAAAACGACCTTGAAACTGAGCTCAAAGTAGCGGAAATGTTCGATTTTTACCAATGTTCAGGAGTAAACAAATCACACCACACGTCCAATACACGTCAACTGGGGAGTCTAATATTCTTTTACTAGTGCACTGATATTATTTATACCATTTTTACAATAATGCAGTAGTCTGCATAACAGTAAATTTTGTATTTTTTTGTATGAATAAAAAATCAAAATAGAAAGCAATAATAATATAAGAGGGGTCTAGAGATGTGACTAATGAACAGAGGATATGTTATTTTAGTGCCAAGAATGTCTACCTTGTTTATTCTGGACCCTATTTTGAAATTGGCATCTTTTTTAGTTTGTGTGAAATTGGCCAAATTGCCAATTTCTGACCACAATATTGGGTAGTCCAAATTGGTAAATGGGAGGTTTCTTGTACTCAGCTGATAGATAAAATGGAATTCTAAAGAAATAGCTATGAGTTTGGTCAACTGGAACAACGGAATTGGCTGAAAATAGGGCTCAAAGTCGGCGAAATCGCCGATACTCATATGTCGCCGAGACCACTAACTTCGCAGGAGCGTAATTCCATGAGTTTTCGACCAAATGTCGAACTTTTGGTGTCATTACCATCAGGAAAAAGTTTCCCCTATCATTTCAAAAGGGAAAAAAAATTTTTTTTTTTTTTTTTTTCAAAATTTAGCGACTTTAGAAGAGTTTCAAAAAGGGGCCTGAAACAGTAAAAAAGGGTTTAAAAGGGCCCAAAAATTTAGCTTGAAATTGAGCTCAAAGTAGCAGAAATCCTTGGAAAACCCCCCAAAAATCGAACAAAATTTCCCTTTCCAGGACTAGTTCTAAATTCAAAAAATTTCTGAAATTGGGGAGCAATTTTTCCCCTAAAAAATTGGAAAAAACAATTAATCGTTCCGGGGAAACCCAAAAAAATTCACACAAAAATACTTTATTATAGAATTTTTTACAGTTTTTACATACAACAAAAAACTATATTTTTTAAATTATGTATAGTAATCAAAAACTTTTTTACTTACATTTATTAAAGGGATTGGTGAGGGCCCTCTGGAAGTAGGGAGGAGGAGAGGAAGGGAGTGGGGTATTTTTTGGAAGGAAAAAACCCCTTTCCATGGGGAATTCCGGGTTATTTCCCCTTCTCTTTTTTTAAAATTCTCTGGGCCCCCCTTTTGAAGTCACTGGCCCCCTTCCCACAAAGAAAACTTTTCCACACCCTCTGTTTCTGGCGCCTTTTTTAACATTTCCCGGGAAAAGGGCCCTGGTTCTTTTCACTGAACTTGTTGCAAAGATGGCTTGTTTAAAGCTTGCTCAGGGTGGTACTTCTGCAAAAAACATTTGGACTTCTTTCCCCTTTGGGGCAAAATTTCCCCCTTAAATTTTTGAAAAGGCACCATCCACTCCCAAAATTTTAAACCCCTTTTTAAAAACCCTCAGTTTCCTTGATTTGTTCTTTCTTTAAGGGATGGAACCGTTTGGTCGACTTTTTTTTTCCAATACATCCTGGCAAGTCAACAAGTCTCACCCACTCTCATACTTTGTATTATTTCCTTTTTCCCACTTTAAATGGTGTTTCTAAACTTTTTTTCCCCACAGGGGAAACCACTAGCAAGTTTCTTTCCCCCATGGCAGCTTATTTCACAGTCCCCCCAAACACAAAAACAAAAACAAAATAATGGGAAAAATGGTGAAGAGGCGCAGGTTAGTGTTCATCAAGCAAAAAAAAGCTAGATGCTCACGGCGCTTGCGGGGGGGCCCCCGCGGAAAAAGGGGCCGGCAGCCCGGTCCCGTCCCCGGGCGGCCCCGAAAATAGGGGCGCTTTCGTAATAGGGACACAGTTTGCCAAAAAAAAATGGTCCTATTTTCAAAAACGTTCGATATGTATACGTTCGTTTTTTTGAGGTTCCACGTATTAAATTTTTTCCCTGTGTTCAAGAGTAAACACATCATGCCCTTTGTGCCCAATCACATAAACTTCGGGTTCATATGCATCACAAATGTGTTTGATACTATTTATACGGTTTTTCCCAATAGTCTGAATAACAGAAATTTTTTATTTTTGTGTGAATAAAAGTTAAAAATTGCCCAACAAGTGTAATATTAGAGGGGCATGGAATGTGTTTAATGAACAGATAAAATTTTAAATTTTAGGGCCAAAATTGCTGCATTGTTTATGCGACCCAATTTTAAAAAGACCTTTTTTGAATTTTGTGTCAAATTGGCCAAAAATTAATGTAAAAACCATTTTTTTGGGTAGATGAAAAAAGGTAAATGGGCAGTTTCTTGTACTCATTTGATAGAATAAAACGAGTTTTTAAACAAAATAGCTATGATTTTTTTGTCAACGGAAAGGGGAAATACCCAAAAAAAAGGGCATAAAATTTTTTGTTCTTTTTACCTGGAGTTTACCTGGAGGGTTGGGGGTCAACCCCCTCCCGGCCCCGGCCCGGGTGCCCCGGCCCCCTTTGGGTAAGTGTCCCAGGATCAACCCACCCAGTCAACTAACACCCGGGTATCCATTTTACTGATGGGGAAACCTTAGCAACAAGGGAAAAAAACCCACCCCAAAAGTTTTAACTCGGTGGGAATAAACCCCAGGC